CCGAAGAACATATAACATAGTCGGAGCACGTTTGAGATCTTTCAACGTATGACTCTGTACAGGTCCTAAGGCCCATGGCAAGATGAAAGGTGGTGCCCTCACGAGCTGTGAAGTCTACCTTGGTGCCGCTTCCCCCTTCACTATCGCTACCTACGAGAGTCCCGGTGATGGCAAGTTCTCCCTAACCAGTGCCATCTGTGGCGCTAAGAAGCTTTCTGCAAGCGTTTTGGGTTCTTCGGCTGCTACTAGGACGACTCAAACTGAGGACTGCAATGGTTTGCAAGAGGCCGAACGAAAGGAGTATGCCAGTGGCAAGGCTCTCCACTCGGTAAGATCGCTTTCGAGGAAAACATGAATGTTTCTTTAGTTGTATGAGCAATGCGACGGCCATGGTGAATCGGAATCCCCATCCGAAGAGAAGGCCCCGCCTGAGACCGAGAGCGATGAATCGGCTAAGTTGCATAACGGAATGATGACCTACAGGACCGTCAGCATTTACGTCAAGGACCTCGACTTCTCGAACTCGGGGGTAAGGTTAGTGTCCCCACCGTTCACCCTCACATCGTTTTAGGGCTATCACGCCTCTGGAGGAGCATACAGCTACTCTGCTGGAGGGTACTCCTCCTCGGGTGGTGTCGAGCGAGAGGTTCGTCAGCATTCTTAGTCGAATTGATCGCTGTCATGCTGTGTGGTGTGTCGTTGTTGGTGTAAGTGCACACGTGACGAGTTGACCCCGAGGATGAGAAGTGTCTTATCCGAGCAGTGTCTGTCTGTCATGCCCTCCAGCAGTTTCTCTGAGTTCTCCTTATTTATACTTGTGGGACTGGTTATAGTCATCTTAACGTAAGGTCACTGTTATGGAGAACTTTTTATCTGTTGGACTTTTCTCAGGTTAGAAGGCTGTTCTCATTCGAACTCACAAGTAAGGTTAGAATGCTAAGCCTTGGGATGTTGTTTTATCAGGTTCCGCAACCAAGGACGAGAAAACATGGCAAAGAGATCCTCGCATGTGATATATATCTCGGAGAGCAGTCGCCTTTCACAGTAGCCACGTATAAGGCGTCCGACCCTGGTAACTTCACTCTCGTTACTGCAACGTGTGGTGGGAGTAATCGAGCTGCACATCATCTGAATGAGGTCAACAGTAGCCGTGTGACGAGGGCGAAGGATTGCGAGAAGCTGCAGGAGGAGGAGAGGGAGGAGTATGACGAGGAGAAGGGCCTAGCTTTGGTGAGCAACGTCTTCCCGTTTATTGAATTGGATTTTCGCCGTGTCGCGAGACGGGATATGCAATTGTATAATCGTAGATAACACTAGTTTTTGGGTCGTCCTAGGGAGCAGGTGACATATTGTGGGCGTATTCGTTCCGCGGGTGAAATAAGCTCCAGCGTTAGTGTATAGGCTCGTCGGATATGACGATGTTGTGCATTATTGAAGTGTTAGGGACGAGTAGTTCATGGGTCTCTGGCTTGTAGTGTGGGAAGATATATTCATGGTCATCAACATGTGTTGGTGATAATATGAAAAACCCGAGGAAGTTTTTGGAAATTGTCACTGATTCCTGTACATCTCTACCCGAATTCGTGTGGGAACTCCTATCGAGCTCAACTTTCAGTTATTCCGAGAGTGTGCGGCGCCCAAGAATACCACCTCCACATGCAGGGTTGCATTGTCCAGTTCCAGCTACCCGAATCAGACGATCGACCTACGTTACGGAGACTCGAGTACAATCGTAGCCGCTTCTACCACGTGTTCTGATGGCTCTGCCGTTTCACTGCCACAAGGAACCAATGTGAGTTCTTTCACTTAGTTGGGGGTCATCGTTTTTTTTCTTCAGATTAACCTCAGCATGAGTTGCGAAGACCTCAAACAGAAGGCGCCCGCCGCTGGTGACTTTGAGCGTTTTATGGCTGAAATGACGGGGAAGCCTTTCCGCAATCCGTGCAAAAGGAAGCCTCTGGTTCGGCTTGTACGGTTTGAGGCAGAAAAACCGCAGATGATTTACGAGGATACCCCTAGTGAAACGGCGGTGACTTACCGAACTGTAAGCATCTACGTCCGAGACCTGGATGTGAAGGGGGCTGTGGAGAGCTGATGTGTATCGGTCTATCAGACTAGTCCAATGAGCCCTCGATCAACTGTGTTCAGAAATCGCTAAAAATGAGATTCTGCTGTTGTTATAGGAACATGTTCAATCGACGATGTTAAGTGATGGCCAGTGTACTGTGTTGAAGAGATCGCAGGTTCGATTCCCACCGACCGTTCTAGGTTGGCAGAATTGATCATTCGAAATGGTATATGCCCGAGATGAGAGTCTCTCATTCGCCCGACGCGAAGACACGATGAGTTTGGACACTATCAAGCCGAAGGATGTTCCTCAAGGTTTCTTCCTGCCGAATCTCACACGAAGACTTGTGCTGAATTTTAGGTAAACCCCTGTATGTGAAGGATACGATTGCTTCCCTCACCACGGGTGACATCGATAAGTGCAGGCCAACTTACTACTGGTTGGACTATCTCGACAAACCCGAGTTCAGTCTCCAGTGAGTTGTTGTACTGGCCGCGCCAAGCCTGATCATGGTTTGTCACTGTGCAGATGCGACATCCCCGGCATGAGATCGAAGTCGTACTATCCACCTGTGGTTAACAGGCCGAGGGACTTGTCTCTCACGACACAAGATATCGATTGGGCTCAACCGAAAATCACGAGGTTCAAGACTAACCGAGTCTCGATCTCTTAATCCTGTGTGAGTATTATAG